CCCCCCCCCCTCTTCTTATTGAGAAAGATACTCTGATGGGCGTGTATGTAAAAGCACATTACAACTGTGACGGTGGTAACAACATACAATGTACGGAGAGAGTACGGGGTACTTTACAAAGTCTAGACATGTCTCAGTTAGGAAAGGGAGGGATCATAGATTATTGCGTGCCATGTAAATCTGTACACTGATCTCTTTTTCATCCTTCTCTTCTCGTCGAGATCAGAGGTAAATTAGAAATATATATATATATATATATATATATATATTAAAAATATATATATAATTATTAAAAAAAACAGGGCAATAGTAGACCTGTTAATGGTTGCATCATGCAGTAACAGGTACAGTCAACCGGACGGGGCGGGTTAGAAAGCGGACACTAAGAGTGTCGTAGATTGTCAGCACTCTAGCAGGGGGCCGGAGGAGGGGGGGGGGCAGAGAGAGAGAAAAGGTTACATATAATTTTTTGCTTCATCTCCCTCAGAATCAGGGAATGCAACGCATGGTAGTGGTTGGTTTAAATGAGTGTGTATGGATGTATGGATAGATTTGACGATGAGCAGAGAGAGAGAGAGAGAGTGTGTGTGTGTGTGTGTGTGTGGATGAATGTGAGTGAGAGTGAATGTGAGAAGAGAGCGTGCATGTGTGTGAGAGAGAGAGGGAGGGAGAGAAAAGGTTGATAAGATACTGAAGTTCGGTCCTGTTAGGGGGAGAAAACCAAGGGAAGGGGGAAAGCCAGACGCACAAATCTATCCCTGATTTCTTTCATCATCTTCTTCTTCTTCTTTACATATCATTCTTCATCATGCCATTGACCGGGATTTCTCAGCCTCTCCCCTCCCCTCCCCCCACCCCAGAACAGTCTGTCTCTATCTCTCCTTCCCTCTCCCTCTCTCTCTTATCATGACTTTTTTTTCCCCCCCATCACAGCAAGTTACCCTTGTCGCCTGATGAAGGGACAGGTACAGATGGCAGGGATGGTGATAGGAACAGAGGGGTTCCTTGGATGAACCGGGATCACGTAGAAATCACGTCTGTCCCTCGTACGGAGTCGTCACATCAAGACCTGTCACGAGGGATGATGATGTATCCATCTCACACGAACTCGACGACCGCCTTCACCCGCACATGGGCCGTACCCGGTACCATACCAGCAGGCTACGGAGTACGGCGCGGGCGGAGGCGGTTTGGGGGTTCGGGCATGCGAGGGGGTAGAAGGAGAGCCTGTCTCTACGAGTATGATGTGCTGTCATCCATCTGTACATGTACTCGCACATGTACGTACGGGCGAGTACATGATACTCGATACATGCCATCCGTATTACCGAGCAGAGAACCAAGTTACCCACCCATCGGACAGGGACAGGGGTGCATGCGAGTGATTTTTTTTTTCTTCTTGGTTTTATCTTATTTCTTTCCTTGTACGACGTCAGGATGGTTCGAGATGCGCCGTATCGGTTTGTTTTACCATTTGCTCTAGGAGGAAGCTGTATCGAGTCAGTATTATCTTTGTTAGTATCATGATTATGATTATTATTTTGATTTAATTCATCTCATCGTATCTCATGTCATTGATTTATTTTCACCTCGAGGTGCTCTTTTGCTGCTCCGTCGCCTTGGCCTGTCTTACGTGGAGGGGGGGG